AGAGGGAGAAGCAGGCTCCCCACTGAGCAAGGAGCCCAAGGTGGGGCTCGATCCCAGGACCCTGGGACCATGACCTGAGCCTAAGGCAGAAGCTTAACGACTGAGCCACCCAGGAGCCCCTGTTTTGTTTTGTTTTTTTAAATTGCATGAAATAATCTTTCTTGGTTTAGTCAACTGACACACATTTTCAAGATTGCAATAAAAGGAATACTGTACTAATTCTAAAAGCTAACATTTGAGATCTCTATATATCTTGTTTTTTTTTTTTCAGAGAGTGATGTGAAAAGCAGTAGGAAATTTTTGAGAATGGAAAATGTAGTAAATAGCATTCTTTGTAGGATACTAATCTACCATTGTTAACCTAATTGAATCCAGTGATCTTTCTTCTTTGCAAGAAATATTTTTCCTCCAGATGCTATTAATTAAACCAAATAATAAACAATAGGCTAAGGTAACCCCTGAGCAAAACACCATTACCTCCTGCTGTCTGACCAAAAAAGCATCAGTGAAGCTTCTTGGATCATTTTTGTCAAATTTATGCTGATGATCTAGGAAAGTCATCCTTATAAAAGCAAATAATTCATCTCTATTCCTGAGTACTGTCTTATGACTTTTTAGGAGGAACCCCAAAACTGGAAACATATTGAAAAGCTGAAAGAATAAAAAACAGCAAAGTAAGTTAAATATACATATGTAATGTGTGCAACAATGGGAATGACACCATTATTTCTGGAAGCATTATAGAAATAACATCTCATTTAGACTTCAATTTTGTCTCAACTAACTGGCAGACTGACCTGGAAAACATGATTTCCTCGCTTAGTGGAACTAGGTAACTTACAATGAATATTGATATGGTTTATAGTAAGTTCTATGTACCCGAAGTATTTTGTATATTATGCCAGAGTAACCCAACACGTCTACTTAGAGGTTAGACAAGACATGGAAACAGTATTGGCTTTATGGTTAGGGCTATAAATCTAAGTGTTTTTCCTGCAAACTCCTAGGTGATTCCAGGTTAAACTCTTTTAGTCCTATGTAGCACACTCACTTTACCACTAATGTTTCTTTGCAGGATCAGAATAATTATTTTTGTAATTTAGAACAGGTCTACTGTGTATAGGTCCCAGGGAGCAGCACCATATAATCCAATATTCCCTAACCCTTAGAAAGTTCAGGAAGGACTTCACTGTTTGCTAAATTTGGTATGTTTCTCAGTATATTCATGTATTTGAGAGATAAGCTCTATTATATATTTCATCAGATTCTCAAAGGGGTCCCTAACCACCCAAGTGACCTAATAAATACCAAAGATAAAAGGCCAACCTAAAGTTAGACATAGTTGGGTGCCTGGGTGGCTCAGTTGGTTAAGCATCAGACCCTTGATTTCAGCTCAGGTCATGATCTCTGGGTCCTGGGATCAAACCCTGCATTGGGCTCCATGCTCAGCATGGAGTCTGCTTGAGATTCTTTCCCCCACCCCTGTCACAACTCCCACTTGCACACTTGCTCATACTCTCTCCTTCTCAAATAAGTAAATAAATAAAATCTTTTTTAAATTCTATTTAAAGATTGAGCTATTTATTTATTTTTAATTTATTTAAATTCAATTAATTAACATATAATGTATTACTGGTTTCAGAGGTAGAGGTCAGTGATTCATCAGTCTTATATAACGCCCAGTGCTCATTACATCATGTGCCCTCCTTAATGTCCATCACCCGGTTACCCCATTCCCCCCACCTCCCCTCCAGAAATCCTCTGTTTCCTATGATTAAGAGTCTCTTATGGTTTGTCTCCCTCTCTGGTTTCGTTTTATTTTATTTTTCTCTCCCTTCCCCTACGCTCTTCTGTTTTGTCTCCTAAATTCCACATGAGTGAAATCATATGATAATTGTCTTTCTCTAACTGACTTAAAAAAACAGACATAGTTGCCTGTTTCCCCTTTAAGTTACAGGTGTATTTAAAGTAAACATGTACTTATAATAACAGAACCTAAATTATTACAAAGTGAAATAATATTGTCAGCTGTCAGTTGTGCTATTGAAAATGGGAACTATTTGACAAGGCTCTTAGTTCCTACATTCTAGAAGACAGCAACTTTATTGCTTGCAAATATAAAAAATTGGATTGTAGCACTATTTTGAACTTACGTGATGCAGAATAAATATTAAAATTTTATTTAGTACTGTTTTTAGTACTTGATAGTTCTCCTCTGTTTAAATTCACTCTTCTAAGTGAATTCTTCTGAGTGTTCCTTATTCATTCATGGCTTATCCGTGATAAGCATCGATGCATAACCAGTGGTATGGGTAAAAGATGAATGGCCAAATTGTGAAAATTTACTGAAGTCATAAACTGAACTATTTATTGATGTGATTCACAATCCATGCATTGTAAGATATTATTTGATACAGTAATTTGTTTTTTCTTAATATTTTTATTTACTTACTTGAGAGAGAGAGAAAGATCATGAGCAGAGTGGAAGGATAGAGGGAGAAGCAGATTCCCCGTTGGGCAGAGAGCCCGATGTGGGACTTGATCCCAGCACTCTGGGATCATGACCTGAGTCAAAGGGAGATGCATAACTGACTGAGCCACCCAGGCATCCTGATGCAGTAATTTGTGATGGAAGAATTATCAGATGTGTTAACCAAGCAGGCTTGTCACATCTCTGTACTCATAATGTTCCAGAAAGTGTACATTTTTGAAATGGCAATTCTCTAACAAATACTTTTTCATGGTCTCTTGAACAACCTACTTCTTCTAACCTACCTTAGAAGAAGTAAAATTGAGTAGGGAACATACAGTTACTGCAATCCTAGGACCTCCAACGAGCTTCACATTTTCACCAGTCAAGGTTAAGAGTCTCAGGAATTGGATGTCTTGGTCAGCAAACCGTTTTCCAAGCAACACTGACACAATGACATTAGCAACAGAAGCATTCATTACTGTTTTGACTTCAAAAGGCTTTCCTATAAGAGAATTCATTAATCAGTTTAGGAATACTGACATAAACAGTATTAAGCCAGTTCTGGAATGATGGGGACAGACTGTCAATAAAAGATTTCATAGAGGAATGAGATTATTGGTGACCATACATTTTAAGGAGAGGTGAGACTAGATGAGCCTTGGAAAATATCCAGAATTTGGTTAAAAGATTGCCACAAGGCAAACTAGAAGTATGTGCCAAAGAAAATCTACATTTGGCTCAAAGAAATTAAAATGTGCCAGCTGAGGGCCATTTCAGTGTGCGTGTACGTACGTGTGTGTGTGTAGCAAGTGTTAATGCATAACATCTGAGAAAATACCAACCTAGAAGCCTACAATCAATTCAAAATTTAAAATAGTATATCTAGATGATTAAAATGATTTTACTTGAAAGAACCTCATCTAGATCCTCTTGTTTTAACCTCTTCAGTTACTGGGATCTGTTTTCCTCCGCATCATTGAAAACTATTTAGATTATTAAATATGTATCACTGGATGTACATTTAATTTTAGCAACCAGAATGCTCAGAATTACTTTTAACATCAGCACCTACCTTAAATGCGGAGGCTGAAGGCCTGGGGGAATTTCTGCAGAGAATATGTTTTCTTTTTAATATGTAAATGTAAGAGTGTCCGAGATGCTATGTAAGGGTGTATGAGATGCTATGTACACAAAGCCCTGAGAAATTAATGTTTGTTAGGAGCTTAACACTGCAGGAGGAATAGATGTTTTCCCGTAGGTACTTTCTCCAAACTGCTGACGGGCTCTCTGTGTGTACAGGGATTGCTAATTTAGCACATGGGCCACTGCGTTGTTTCTTCTCTGTATTTATCTCAGGCTTGTCTACCTTTGACCATTTCTCTTCTTATTACTATCTGCATCAGTGAAGATAATACTCATATGAGCATATTTTTAGTAAGGAATGAGCTCAATTTATTAAGGAAATGAGAAAACTATTAACATGAAGATGTTAAATAATTAAAATATTAAATAGATAAAATATTAAAATGATATGGAATTAACTGTATATCATTTAAAGAGATCAGAAATATACCTATTACTGAAGAACTGTTCCAGATGGAAGGAAGCAAAAGAGACATGACAACTGAATGTAATGCATGTGTCAGGATTTTCTTTTGCTATTCAGGACATTAATGGGACAATGGCAAAATCTGGCCAAATAAGTTCAGGGGATGGCTGAGTCAATACTAATTTCCTGAGTTTTGAAAATTGTACTTTGGGTATGTGAGAGAATGTTTTTGTTTATTTTAAGGGAACACATTGAAGTGTTTAGGAATAAAGAGAGAGCATGTCTCCAAAGTACTTTCAAACAGTTTAGAAAAAGAGACAGAACAAGAGAGAAGGCAAACGTAAAATGCTGACATTTGGGGAATCTTACAGAAGAGTAGGATTGGGGAATTATTTGTAAATTCTTGGAATTTTCCTACAATACTGAAATTATGCCTAAGTAATAAAATATAGCATTTGGCTTCTTTCTCATGAAAAATAGGATGTGGTTTAGTTTATTCTATGCACCTCTGTGAGACTCAAAACTCCCTACGAGATGCTGGCATTCTTCTATGATCCTGTCTTCTATGAGCCGCTTGCCCATTCCAAAGTTCCTCAAGGTGGTCAAGCTGAACCTTCTCATAGTTTTCGAAGTTTCACCATGAGAGAAGACGATTCCTTGTAACGAGAAAAATGTTTTAAAATTATTTCCTCAAAGCTTTTAACATTTAATTTGCAAGGACAAGTAAAAATTTAAAAGAAGCTTTATTCTCCCTGTTGAAAATAAGAGATTTCTCTTTCTCTTAAAGCATTAACTTTAAAAGACTTGTATTTTTTCCTGTTTTTAAATCATATATATATATATAATCATATTGTATATATATGACTTATAGCATATGTAAGTCCTTCTGAAGTTAGAATGTGTCTTTTGTCAGCTTTATGACCTAGCAATGGCTTTCTCAGGGACCTGGAGGCCATCTGTTCAGAATATAAACATCAAGAAAGAGAGTACCCCTTTCTCCCAGTTTCTGTGGGAGGGTAGGAGCCAGACACTGGTGGGTGCCTTGCCCCAAGTTGCAAAACTACCTCCTATCATAAAGATATGAGAACTTTATTATTCTTTTGTATACAGACAATTAACACAGATGGTCACCCCAATTACCGGATGAATCTAGGATGAATGGTGTGTGACAAATGGTGCTGCCAAGCCCTCTTAGTTATTGAGGACTAGTTATATTGTTTCCTTTGAGAACGTTTTTGTAATGGGTTGTGTCTGCTTGGTTATATAACAGGGTGAGATTTGTTTTTGTCTTTGCAATTTCTTAGTGGATTGTCTGTGATACACATCACATTTTGGTTTGATGCTTATTCAACAATAAAATTGTTTTCTTTTTCTGTTACCTTTGTGGAGAGGAGGATTTCTGGGTTGGGAGAAGATTTTGGTTTTAGTTCTATTTCTCTGACAAATTCATTAAGCAAATCTTGAGTCTCTATGCTTATATCATGCTAGGTGTGGTTAAGGGGTTGATGAACAATAGAAAACAAAGTCTCTTTTGCCAGGGAAAAATGTAGACTACAGCCACAAGATTTACCCAAGAAAAAGGTTAGGAGTAACTAATTGCCAAGAGGTGTAACGAAGCTTCCACGTGTTAGTGCTATACATACTAATTTCTAGGCATACGTGTTGTTGTAGCATATAGTAGGTCCCTGATAAATATTTATTGAATGAAACAGCTGTGTGAATTTGTGCACGGCTAAGGGAAATAATAGTCAAATAAGGTTCTTAGAAGAGTCAGGATATATGCTAACTGACAGAAAAATAAGGAGAGAGAGGGTTGCCAAAGTGGCCCACATCTTTCCGTGGCCAGTTTATGGTGACCATGGCCTTACTCCTTGTGTTTCCGTCCCTAAGCCCACCCTTCCTCCACTGGCATTTGTCTCATTTTTCTATGGAGGCACAAGAGACAGGGGAGGGTTTTCTGAGTTTGACTGATAACCTGAAATAGGAAACTAGACTAAACGAAGGCAAGCTAGGTGTTGGAAATGGGGCAGCGCCATCCTTGCTAGTGTCAACGTGAAATCCGAGAGCGATCTCTCCTGGCAGTTGTGGCCACTTCATGTGAGGTTAAGCCTTCCTTTGCGAGGATACTGGTGAAGGCTAGATTCTGCTCACGTTCAATTCTTACATTAATATAATGTCATTCTGTCTATGGATCCTGTACTGCATAAAACTGTTTTGTAACAAATACGTGACTCTCCGCATTATCTCGTGTTTTTTATTTAAAAATTTACATTTGAGAACACAGTAGTAGAATATGAAGGGCCCACAGTCAGGGAATAGCAATAGTCCAGCCATGTAATTGTGAAGAACATTAATCTAGCATTATAAGGAATGGAACTTCTTTTATTTATTTATTTATTATTTTTTAAAAGATTTTATTTATTTACTGGACAGAGAGAGGGAACACAAGCAGGAGGAGCGGCAGAGGGAGAAGCAGGCTCCCCACTGAGCAGGGAGCCCGATGCGAGGCTTGATCCTGGGACCCTGGGATCATGACCTGAGCTGAAGGCAGATGCCCAACCAACTGAGCCACCCAAGCACCCCTGGAACTTCTTTTAAATACTGGCACCAAAGTTTGAAATATATTTAAGTTACATGGCAAAATAATTTATTAAGATGAAGTACTACTCTAAAATGGCCTAATGGTAATGAAAATATTACATATTTCTTCTGTTTATACAAAATTGGTTTAAAGAATGCTTGTACCCATTTGGGTGGATTACTAGACAGGGTGTGGGGCAGAGAAGTAATCATTTTATCTTTGAACAAAGAGTAGTTTTCCTATGACCAGTTAAGACACTTAAAAAGAAAGACTAGTTGATTCTTAAAATGAATTATTTGCTAAGGAAAAAAATATTAGATTTGACATTGATACCAATTAAAACAATTTTGCATATAATCGTAAAATCAGTGAGTAATATGTGAAGTGTTGTGAAAAAGAACTGAGATTCCAGAGGCAAGAGATAAAAAGTGTCCCAAATTTTTAGAAGGAATAAAAGAAGATGGATCCTGAGAGCTAAAGATCAGGGACTGAATGAACTGCTGTTCCTCAATGCTGACTTTATGAGATGTTAATTGGAATTCCAAGAAAAAGAAATGTCCCAAGGACTGATGTGGTCCAAACATACATGTATGTATGTATATATACACACAATGGAATATTACTCAGTATCAGAAAGAATGAAATCTTGCCATTTGCAACAACATGGATGGAGCTACAGAGTATTATGCTAAGTGAATGATGATAAAGATGATGATGATTATGTTGCCCTCAGAGGCAAAGTAATGGTTTTCTCTTCAGTATATCGCCCGTTATGGCTTTCAAACTTAGAATTTATGGAATAGAGCAGAACTCGATTTCAATTATCTGTCCTTTGAACTTAAAAATTGGAATTTATGGCCAAATGCAAACTATGAATGTTATGTCTTTCCTTCCTTCCTTCCTTCCTTCCTTCCTTCCTTCCTTCCTTCCTTCCATCCATCTTATTCCACAGTCAAGAATTGTAAAATCTTTGAAGTGGAAATTAGAGAAATTGGTCCAATATTTGGTCTAGCCCCGTAATTGTACAGACAAAGAAATAGAGACTAAATTCTTATATAAATTCACACAGCTAATTAATGACAGATAATTCTTGGTCTCAGTTGCTGGGGCCATACTCTTGATCGTGCCTTTCATACAAACTGTTTTGAATAAAAGTTAAAATTTTCTTTGGGCGCCTGGGTGGCTCAGTCGTTAAGCGTCTGCCTTCGGCTCAGGTCATGATCCCAGGGTCCTGGGATCGAGCCCCACATCGGGCTCCCTGCTCCATGGGAAGCCTGCTTCTCCCTCTCCCACTCCACCTGCTTGTGTTCCCTCTCTCACTGTCTCTCTCTGTCAAATAAATAAATAAAATCTTTTAAAAAAAAAAGTTAAAATTTTCTAGAGTAAGACTGTGATCATAGTTCAGTTCCGTCATAGTGAAATATGTAAGATATGGAATATGGAATATGTAGATCAAAGTGGCTAAAATAAAGGATACAGATCATAAATATTTCAGGATAAAAATACCACTTTAAATAATAGAAATATATTTACTAATATTTTTATATGTCCAAATTTAAAAGAAACTAAAAATTAAATAAAACAGTTCAATTAACTTTGAATCCTATCTAATTACTTCATTATACATATATGAACCGGTGATAAATATATGCATGCTAAGAAACCCGTGAGTGTAAGAACGATGTAGAAAATTATAAATAAGTATGAAATGAACAATCATTTTTTACCTCCAGCATAGTTTGATATGGCCTCTTCAGATTGAGAATATGCAGATTTCCAATAATTGGCAAAGGTCTGGATCCTGGAGGAAAATGTTGCTTGGAAGCTTTAGTCATGAAGATTTTAATATTTAAAAGAAAAATAAAAAGCAGGCTCAGAATTGGAACTATGACAGAAGAGTCAAACCCACTCATTATCTTAAAGTAGAAGTAATTATCAAAATAATAGAAATCTTTGCAATTGCAACCAGGCAGAATCAGCAGCTTCCAGTGCAAATCAAAAACATGAAGGCATTGCTCATAATATTTGCCCTATCTTATAGTCAACCATCTATTTATAATTAAAATGAATTCAGCCCTACATGGAATGCTTGCCTTATTTGAGCTCCTCCCCCCTCTCTTTTCACTTCTCAGTTCAATCTGCTTTATCCAATAAAGCTTGGAGGAGGGATTTTCTCTTCATGTAAAACAAGGATTTGTCTTGAAATTTCAGAGAAATACAATATGTTCAATCTTCAATGTGAAATCTATACTTTCACAATAAAAAGAATTGTATTGTTTGCTAGGATACCCCGCGATCTGTGTGTGGTTGGTCAAATAACAGTGTCACACCAAGAATTTCAAGGTTCTTATACAATGATAAGTTCTTACCCTTCCACTCTCCTAAGAGTTTCATAGGAGCCTCAGTGCCATGGAAAGAGCATTGGTTTTTAACTTGAGGACTATGTGCAGATCCTAGCAAGTTACACATCTTCTTTGAGCCTTAGTTTCATTTTAAACTGAGAGAAATACGTAAATTATTCAACTGTTGCAATGAGTTAAAAGTGAACGGATATACAGCTCCTAACATAGACTTAAAATTCACTGCCTGGCATTCCTCCTTTTTTCCCTTTTTCACTCCTGATAAGCTTTCTCATTTGTTTATGTCTGTATTCTTTTCTGTAACCTTTTTTTCTTTCTGTCATCAAGTTTTCCGCCTTTTTGTGCTCCCGACTCTTTTTTTTTTTTTAAAGATTTTATTTATTTATTTGTCAGAGAGAGAGCACTAGCAGGGGGAGCGGTAGGCAGAGGGAGAAGCAGGCTCCCCACTGAGCAAGGAGCCCGTCGCGGGACTCGATGCCAGGACCCTGGGATCATGACCTGAGCCAAAGGCCGACGCTTAACCCAGGCGTCCCTGTGCTGCTGACTTTTAACCATGCATCTGAGCTATAGCCCATTCTAGTTGATTTGCTCAAGAAAGAAATACTTATGTCTCCTTTTTGTGTTGGAATGACTGTGAATAAGGCACTAGTTTAATAGATTAAATTGAACAACTTTTTATATATTGCCTTCTTGATAACAATATTTCCTCAAGTTTTCTAGAAGTTGCCATCATGCTCTATATTTACTTTTTAGTTTATAGTTTGTTGTCTTCAAGGAATTTCAAATTCTTGAAAGCAAGGACTCTATTTCCACCACCACCCACCCCCACAACTGTGGGATCTCCAATATTTAGAAAGAACAGTGTGGGCGCCTGGGTGGCTCAGTTGGTTAAGCGACTGCTTTCGGCTCAGGTCATGATCCTGGAGTCCCTGGATCGAG